AAATTAAAGTTTGTTTAGACATAAAGACAGTATATAACCTGTCTCTTATACACATCTAGATGTGTATAAGAGACAGGCATAACACAATGCAATTTTGTGACTTCAGATACATTTCTTTAAAAAACTATAGAATTAAACAATACAATATTTACTATTACTAGCCAAATATAAACAGTCCCTCCCTCATCAATAAAAACAAAAGCGCAATAACGAATTGTTCAGATTAAAAAAAAAAAAAAAAAAGAAAAAAAAAAAATCCGTTTTTTTTTAAAGGGTGATAATCTAAAATTTTGAATACATTGAACACAATGAAAAAGAAAAGGATTAACTTAGAAAATATTAAAGAAGACAGTTGTACTTCATCACTGTGTCCCACTATAGCCAATTCGGCAACCATTGGACTCAATGAAAAAGAATATGATTATTTTTGAAAATATTAAACAAGATATTACTGCTTTTTTGTAATAGATGAGGGAGGGACTGTTTTTCTTTGGCAAGAATATTGTAAATATTGTATAAAACTGGTTTAATTTTTATTGTTTTTTAAAGAAAACGTAGGCCTATTTCCAATCACAAAATTACATTGTTTTTTATGCTGTTGAAAAAATGATGCGGCCAAGAAAAAGAAACACTTTTTAAAATCAATCAATATTTGCCAATTTTTTTGACGTAAACTCAACCATACATATTCAAAAACAGAGTGAGGAAAAGGACCTCCACGAAACTCTTAGGAGCTTTTAAAATGGAGACCCGGTGTTTAAAATTAAAGTTTGTTGACATAAAGACAGTATATAACTGCCTAACTACAAAGATACACCCCGTCTCACCCCAACAGTCATATTTATTTGATTTACATTTATTTTGAACATTGCCATGAGGACATTGTTTAAATCCACACTGGCCTATATTTTACACTGATTGTACTGTCGGCAATACCAGAGAGGTTAATTTCCATTACATTATAGTCTTCCATTTCTATAGCGCATAATACAGTGCATGACAAACGTCACTTAACCACTATAAATTCCACCTTAATTCGGAGTCGCTCAGCTAGCTCAGTCTTACATGTGTAAATGATCGTATTGACACTGTGTTTTTAGCATTGTTTTAAAATAATATCCTATCAGACATTTACATGAACAACAAAACGAATGGAAATATATATTTTGTCTTAACTATTGTTTTCAGCAAAGCGGCGTATCCATAATCTAAAGAACAGGGTGCTGATGTAATGAGAGTCCACATCACGTCAGTGCCATCGTGGGTTGGCGGTGACGCAAAAATTTCAGTATTTTATACCACTGGATGCCCCAAAATAGAACTTACATTACCTATTAAATAATAATGTTTTTGACGAATTGAGTAAAAAAAAAAAAAACAACAATTAATTAATTAGGTACCAGAAAAAGAAATTTAAGTACGTACTATTCTAAAAACTACCATATTCGACTGAGCCCCACTATGGTTGGGGCTCAGGTGAGAACATTTTGAGAAGTTGAGACTCGTTAGATGCACAAAAAGCACTTGAATAGTACAAAATTTACGATATCTACCTGAGCCACACCATGATTTTGGGGCGCAGATGAGTAAATTGCAAGAATTTGAGACTTTATAGATGCCCCAAAACAACACTCGGATACTTAAAATTTATGAAAAAAAATTCCAATCCATCTATCTCAGCCCACCATGGTTGGGGCTGAGGTAAAGCAATTGTAAGTGTATAAGAGACAGCCCCCCCCCTGCGTGACAAATTTGGGAAATATTGATGCGGGAATTAAAAAAAATTCTTTGCCGCATTAATTATTTTCACAGCACAACACAATGAAAAATAACTATATCCACCTGAGCCCCCTCATGTTTGAGGCTGCATGAGAAAAAGTTGGAGAATGGCACTTAAAAACTTAAAATTTATGTTGGTTATTTTTTTTGACATTTGAAAAGGGGATGTCATCGGGACGCAACTGCCCAAAAAACTATTTTTGGCAGCGAAGGGATGCTACCAATAAACAATCAACAAACTACCGGGTTTCTGGGATGATTTCCAATTACTACATGGCTCAACTATATTTTAATTTAGGGTTAATTGGTAAAAATCGCACAGAAATCATACGACGTCACTGACAACGCCGGGGACGGCAACTCGATTTTGAGATTAATTTTCCGAATAAAGTTATACTAAATAACTTCTAATGACGAACTATTGTCTTCAATTATCTTTGTTGGTCATTCAACTGTCATTTTATCTATTTTTCGGTGATATTACCATTCTCAATAATCTATAGAACACCCACATAACAACGTCACGTTAGATCGATCGGTGGGGACGCCGTGGTGACGC